CTGCTTCGCGGCGTCGAGCGTCTTGCCCTTGAACCGGAGCTTGCCTTCGTTAAGCAGCTTCAGCATGGCCTCCCGAGCTCCACTGAACTCGGACTGCAGCTGCGGATCTTTTTTCATCCGGTTGTTGACAAACTCTTCGAGGCTATCGTCTCCGAACGAACCGTGCTGGTAGGTCAGCTGGCAGATCCTGTCCTGCTTGGACTGAGGGTCGCCCGAGCTGCCCCTGTGCCAGACTGTGAAGCGGCTCTGCGACAGCGGGCCCACCGTGACTTCGTTCGGGTCGCAATTCTTGCGACCGCAAGCGATGCAGCTGCGCACCTTCAAGAAAATTTGTCCGTCTACGACCGTCCCAGCGCTGGAGTTTGGGCACAAAGCTGTCGACGTAGTGGCTGCGCCCTCTGAGCGCTCGGAGCGGCCGGCGAGGGACTTCAAATCCTCGTCCATGGCTGACAGCCGAACACGCACCAGGCTGACAGCCGATCACAAAACCGGCTGACAGCGGCCGCCGCTGCAGTTGCTCGCCAACACCAGGACCAGGGCCAGGCAACTGTCGCCCCGTGGCCGGGCCGAGTCTACTCAACTCCTACCGCCTAAGTAACTGGAAGCGTCGCAAGTGATAGACAGACAGATATGCAGCAATGATTGGATGATTTGATTCGAGTAACATTTGCTATCATAGTCAAAGGCAATTAATCATAATCATAGAATCATAGGCATCATAGGCTTCATATTGCATGACGTGACTCAAGACTCATGCCGTCATGCCATATGATATCATATGACTCATATGACATATGTGACATTGACATATGACTCATGCATGCCTTCTGTGGAAACAGCCACGTATCTCACATGGAACAGAGGACATGACATAAATTAAATACGTTACATACCAAACCTCTGTTTGCCTGACTGCCTGACTGAACACTGGAGCACAGTCACATGGTGTACATCGCAGCCAGCCTGTCAAACCACTCACTTGCGCAACAAAGCACGCACGGTCACCCACCCACTGTTTTTTTTGCGCTCAGCTGTCAAAACGTGGCCTCTTGGTGTGGTCAGTGTGGTCCTACCGCCAACGGCAGGAGTCGAAGGCCGCGGCGCCCAGCCAGGCTTGGATCCGTCAAACTGGCTGTCAGCCGTACACATGGAGCCCCTTGCTGCCAGCAGGAGAGATCCGTCAAACTGGCTGTCAGCCGTACACATGGAGCCCCTTGCTGCCAGCAGGAGATGGGTCCACCCCCCATCTAGTCCAGGTTGTCTATATCGCAAAGCAACTCCTGCACAGCTTCAGCCGCAACCACATCCGCACCTTCCTCCTCCTGGTCGGTCCATATGTACTGCGGCATGTGGGAATATAGCGACAAAAGCAAGGCCATCAAAATTGTGCTCGCGAAGGCGTTGCCACCTAGGTCTTGCTGCTGGTGGTCTGTCACCTTCAACTGGTGGCCCGAGACTTCAGGAAACCCCTGCAACTTCAGGCATTCCTTGCCCGTTAGAAGTCTGTTGTGAAGTACCAGGCCCTCGCTGCTGCGTGCCAAAACCCAAACTTTCTGGGATGGAAGCATCGTAAAAAACAAGTTGGGGGAACTGGTGACTCGCGCTCGGTCAAGCCGTTGCGAAAGGTCTACTGCGACAAACTGGCGGCCCTCGCTGTCAGCGGAAGGTGTCTGAGGCCCAGAGGCCTTGATGTCCACAAAATGTTTCATCAAGCTGTAGGCCAAAACCTCCTTCTCCCGCTCTGTGAGTAAGCAGAGCCACGGGCTGCTCAGCACAACCTCAGGCAACTTGACTTCTGTCCAGGCGATGTTCTTCGTCGCAAAGAATTCGCGATGCTTGTGCCGCCAAGCTTCGTGTTCACTAGAGTGCTCACGCACTGCCTGTTTTTTTTTCTCCAGCACCTCCTGAACGTAGCAGTCGTCATCGGGAAACAGGAAATCCGTTGCTGGACGCGGTGGACAGCCGAGAGACGAAGCCGTGCGCAGGATCGCGTCTGCGATGGAATCGAGGGTTTCCACAGAACAATCAAAAACGGCTCTGTTCAAGAGGACCTGCCAGGCCCGTTTGCGTGCTTGCGGCAGCCCAAAGTGCGATGCCTCGAGAAGTTTCGTGGATATACTGTAGTCCAAAGCCTCGAGCTGCTCCAAAAAGTATGCAACGTTGTCTGAGTCCTGGCTGTCTCTGGACATCTCCTCCACATTTTCGAGCAGCGCAGCAACGGGCCGGTGCTGCCGCAAATACTTCATCAGCGCGAAGCATGTTTCCCCGCTGGAGCCTGTCTGCGATCTCAATACCCCGGCATTGCTGGCATTGTTCATTTTGCTGAGGTTCTTGCAAGAGTAACCGACAACAACAAGCAGCGGCTGCGCATGGACGCGGCATGTGCGTTGGTGGCGATCGCAGTAAGCTTGCGTTCCCGCCAAAGAAGCGAACTCCGTGAAGACACAACCGTGCTGCTGGCTGACAGCCGGATCCGGATTGCCGTGATCCATGATCGGAGTGACGTACTGGAGCAAGTGGTTTTTCTTATACTTCTCCTTTTCACAACTGTGCAGCAGCAGTTCTCTTGTCTGCAAAGCCTCGGTCAAAACTCTGTGCACAAGCTCTGCCATTCCACTGCCAGAGCACATTGTGCCGATCGAAGGCCCGAGTGCCCGCCAACCTGGGCCTGCCTCACCGCGGAAGTGGGCGCTTTTGGTCAAATTGCGGAAGCAGTCTCTTTGCTGCTGCTGGGACAATTTGTCCCAGGCCTGCTGCAGAAACTTCCACAGTTCGGTTTGCGCAAACAACACAGGCTTTCGAAGAACCACGTTTCCTGACTGCTCGCCTGGCTCAGGCTTGTCCTTGTCGTTGGCTGACAGCCTGGCAGCTTCGGAAACCATCCCCACGATTCCTAAAAGGTCCTCGTCGCTGTCGTGGTCCTGGTCCTGGCTGCCAGCCGAAGTCTGTGGACCCAGATCATCGGCGGCGGCGGCGTGGGGAGTCTTGTCTTGGCTGTCAGCCGAAACCTGGATTGCCTTGGCATTGGCCTTGGACGTGTCCTCTTGCGAGCTCTCTGAGTCCGACGGTTGCCGGGCGAACTGACTCAAGTCCAAACTTGTGTTTCTCTTGATGAAATCGAAAAACAATTCCAGATCTTCCGAATCTCCAAAGCTCCATGGCTCATCTGACGCATCTGCATCCCAGTTTTTGAGGACCTCTGTTTGGAACACAGAAAACAGACTGTGTTGCCTGCAGGCCTGCAGCAGTGCTTCGAAGGATTCGTCTGACTGCTCATCGCTGTTCGCTTGCACCTTCTGAATCAAAACAAGCGCTTCAGGTGTGAGCAAAGGCTCCACAGGCTCCTGGCTGGCAGCCGAAGGTCCTGAAGCAGCCTTGCTGCCTTCCAACTGCGGCGCTTGTTCGCGCTGCCTCGTTTCCGCCTCTCTGCTGCACGGCCTTGCTTCTGACTGAGCTTGCGGTTGCTGAGGTTGGCACTTCTGCTCTGGTTGCTGCTGCTTGCTCGTTGCAGTGTTCTCCTCTTGCTCGCACTGCCCCAGCGTTGTCGGGCTGACAGCCGGCTGCTGCAGACTGCTCTCATTGCTGTCTTTCAGCTGCTCTCTTTGCCCCTTTCCCAGTGGCCTTGCCTCTGACTGGAGCTGTGGCTGCGGTGGCCGCTGTTTTTGCTCTTTGTCTTCTTCCTTTACT